TCAATTTCCTGGGTTGTTATTGGTCTGTTTAGTGTCTCAATGTCTTCTTGTTTTAATATGGGGAGGTTGTGTGATGTCAGAAAGTCCTTTATTTCATCTAGGTTATCAAGTTTGTTTCCATATAAGTATACATAGTAATCTCTGATAATCCTTTGCATTTCTTTGGGGTCAGTTGTGATTTGATCTTTCGTACTTCTGACTGCATTTATTTGGGCTTTTTCTCTCTTTATCTTGGTCATTCTGGCTAGGGGCCCATCTATCTTGTTAATTCTTTCAAAGAACCAGCTTTTTTAAAAAATGTTTTCTATAATATTTTTGCCTTCCATATCCTGTATTTGGGCTCTTATTTTGGTGACTTGGATTCTTCTGCTAAAGTTGAGGTTTTGGTGGTCTTCTCTTTCCAGCTCCCTTAGTTGATTTGTTAGGCTCTCCACTTACAATCTTTTCATTTTCTTGATGTGTGCTCATAGAGATATAAATTCCCCTCTTAGAACTGATTTCATGGCATCCCAGAGGTTTTGGTAAGATGTTTCTTCATTTTCATTGTTTCCAGGAATCTTTCAATTTCTTCTCTGATTTCAGTGTTGACCCATTCATTGTTCAAGATCATGCTGTATAGTATCCATGTCTTTGTAAGCTTTGGGGGAATGTTGTTGGTTTTGATATTTATTTTTATTCCACTGTGGTCTGAGAATGTGTATGGCAAGATTTCAACCTTATGGAACATGTTTATATTTGATATATGGCCAAGGATGTGATCAATCTTGGAGTATGTTCCATGTGGTGTTGAGTAGAATGTATATTCTGTGGTTGTTGTGTGGAATAATCTATAGGTATCTACTAAGTCCATTTGGTCAAGAGTCAAGTTTAGGTTCTGGATCTCCTTGTTGATTTTTTGCCTTGATGATCTATCTAGGGATGTCAGTGGGGCATTCAAGTGCCCTGCTATAGTAAGGTTGGAGTCAATATTTTTTTTAGTTTATTTAGTAGTTGCTTTATAAATGTTGGTGTTCCTGTGTTGGGTGCATATATGTTTAGGATGGATATTTCTTGTTGATGGATTGAACCTTTTATCATTATGTATGTCCTTTGGCATCTTTTGAAATTTTTGATAGCTTAAAGGTTGTTTTGTCTGACATTAAGATTGCGACTCCTGCCTTCATTTGTGATCCAGGTGCCTGGAAACTTGTTTTCCATCCTTTAACTTTGCATCTATGTGCGTCCCTTGTAGTGAAATGAGTCTCCTATATGCAGCAAATAATTGGGCCATGATTTCTTATCCAGTCCGCCATTCTGTGTCTTTTCAGTGGTGTATTTAGTCCATTCATATTCAGGCTGATTGTTGGAATGTGATTGCTTATCCCTGTCATGAAGTTCTTATACTGTTTTTTCTTTGCTTGTTTTCTTTTGGCTTTGGGGTTAGTGTTTGCATGTGTTTTCAATTTTCTTGTGCTGTATTCTCTGTTGATTCTGTGCTCTACTGCTCTCTTGGGAAGTGTATAGTGATTATTTTTTCTTTCTACTGTACTTAATACCTTTTTAAGTGTTGCCTGTAGAGCTGGTGTGGAAGTTGCATAATCTCTTAGGGATTTGATGTCTGGGAAAGATTTTAATTCTCCACCACTGATAAAGCTGAGCTTGACTGGATAGGAAATTCTTGGTGGAAATTGCTTTTCTTTGAGGACTTTGAATATAGAGGTTCAGTACCTTCTTGTTTGTAGTGTTTCTGCCGATAGGTCTGCTGCTATTCTGATTGGTTTCCCCTGGTAGGTAGTCTGACCTTCCTTTCTTGCTGCCTTTAGGATTTTTTCTTTTGTGCCTACTTTATGTAGGCGAATTACTATGTGTCTGGGGGTTGGTCTTCTCATTTGATGTCTTGTGGGGTTTCTCTGTATCTCTTGTGCTTGACTGGTCACATCTCTGGTGAGATGTGGAAAGTTTTCTTGGACTACCTCCTGGAATACTTGCTCCAAGTTGTTCTCATTTTTCTTTCTTCTTCTGGGGTACCAATCAGGCATAGGTTTGGCTTCTTGATATAATCACACATCTCTTGTAGGCTTTGTTCTTTCTTTCTGAGTCTTCTTTCTATGTTTTTTACAGGTCATGTTAAATTCATGTTCTGGTCTTCAAGTTCTGAGATTCTTTCTTCAGCTAGATTAATTCTGCTTTCCATGCTTGTCATCTTGTTATTTATTTCCTGGATGAGATGAGATTTTTTTTATTGCCAGAATCTCTGTTACAAGTTCTTTCAGTGTTGCATCTTGTCTTTCTTCAGTTTTATTCACTCTTTCCAACCATTCCCTGATCCCTGTCATATTTTGGGGCCAGTTCTTGGTGACTTCCATTGTTTGGCCACCAAGGTCTGATTTCTCAGGAGTTTTGTCTTTGGTAGACTTGGAGTTGCCTGAAGTCTTCCTTTGACTTTTCCTCATTTGTGACAGATCTCTTGTTTTTTTCTTTAGTTCTGTTATTCAGTGCCAGTGGGAGAGGCTTTCCCTTCTGATGTTTGCTTGGTCTTCTATTCTGCCCTGATTCGGTCTCTGAATTTGTTCTATTTTGAAATTGGATGGTGGATGGGAAGCTTTTCTACCTCTTGTAGTTTTTGAAATCCGAGTAAAGTGGGGATGGGGTGCTAGAAGTCAGATGTTACTTGCAAATTAAAATGTTCACTTATTGTGGTATGTTTTCCCTGAGAGCCACTCCCCACCGCCCTCTATATGATGATGCAAAGCAGAAACCAAAACACTACAAAAAAACTGCAATAACAAGAAAGTGAGAAAAAACAAACCACAACAACAGAAAAACCCCAAGAAAACTAAACACACACAAATGCCTAGTATGTAGTGAATAGAGAAGAAAGACAAAAAGACTGAAAGGGGGAGAAAAAGAAAAAAGAAAAACGAGAGAGAGATTTAAAAAAAGGGGAATTCAGTTGGAACCCTCACACATATATTGACACATCCCTTAAATTATAAAAAATGGATATAAAAATATAACCCAGAAGAACAAAAGAGCAAAAACCAACAACAAAATCAAAAGATGAACACTCAATCATTCACATACACACATAAACTGAGAATGACAAATAAAAGAAGTAAGAAACATAGAAAGAAATGAAAAAAAAAAACTTGGGAGGGTTGCAGGTCAAAGACTCACATACACAATCATGCACAAAGGACAAATATTTTAAAAATAAATGAACTAACAAACAGTCAGAAAATTTTAAAAATTAAAAAATATTGAAAATTAAAAACAAAGCAAAACAGAACAAAACAAAAGACAAAAAACAAAGACAAAAAAGCCTGTCCTCTTGTGTCAGGCTCTGTATTTGTTCCTCTAGTCAGATCTCTCCTGCAGAGCCACCTTTTTCACTCTCTCCAACCAGGAATGAAACAGGGAAGGAGCACGGGCAGCAGAGGTGGGTGGCGCTGCAGTCCTCCCCTCCCACTCTCCTATGGTCAGGGAGATCTCTGTTGGGGAGGTACAGGATAGTCTCTTCCCCAGAGAGGTTGCCCCAGCCAGACCTATCCTGGAATGGGGTCCTCCTATTGCGACTGATGTCCAGGCTCCATCTGGGTTTGTCCCTCTCAGTCATGTCCCAGCTATGTGGGGCTGAGGTTCAGAGGATTGCTGGGGAGGAGGGGATTTGTGTGAACCTGGGCTCACCACTGATCTCTTTGGAGTTCTTCCTCATCCTTTTCTGGCCACACCCTTTGACCCACGCTGGATCAGGGTAGGGGGTGAGGCCCTGGAACTCAGCACTTGTCAGGTCCCTCTGAAGTTTGTGCTCTCAGGATATTTCCTCTGGACCACAATCCAGCCCTGAGTAGTTGATCTGCCATTCACAGAGATCAGATGTCTGGGCTCCATCCACAACCTCTTCCATTGCCTTGTTAGGTCTCTCTCCTACTTCAATGGTAAGGGAGCGCTTGGGGCAATAGTTTGTCTGTTGCTTAGGCAACAAGTTGGAGGCTGGGTGGGAGGAGCTGGGCGGAGCAATGCAAATCTCTGCCTGGAAAATGGCTTGGGTGGGCAGCTCCTCACCAGGCATTTATTCCTCTCTCTGGATTCCCCTAATGCTCTCTCTCCAATAATCAAATCCTGCACTCTAGTGGTCCGGTATGCCAGGCGATGGTGTGTGCCGGGTGCCAGGTGCTGGGAATCAGCTGGATTCAGCAGGCTTTTCTTAGGTGCATTCTCACAGGCAGCAGATGTTTCTGCGGCAATCTTGGGAGCTGAACTCTAATTTCAGGGTGGTGGGGACTTGGAGTCACCCTCAGAGGAGCGTACTCGGGTGCAAGTAGCCGAGTATACCACTAGATGGACTTTCACGCTTCCACCAGTGCCCACCTATGCATGCAGAGAATCTTTATCGTCACTTGCCTCCACGGAGATTTTTACAGCCCGACCTGTCGTCCACCATCTTGAGCTCCTCCTCGAAACATGATCTTTCTATATGCTTCTTTAATCACTGCATCCGTGAAAAAAGAACACAAAAATTCAAGTCTTTTAAAACTTCCTCCTTAAAGTGACAAATAATTCGTCTCCTCTTAATGGACTCTCCCACACAGTCATATGGCCACATTTATTTCAAAGATGAAAGGATATGCAATCCTATCAATTGACTGAAAGGAAGAGGTCCTGAACGTTTGTAAACACTCCTTAAGAAAACAATGGAAATCAAGGAAATGAAAAAAAGTGGAATCGTAATAGTTGAAGTTATACATGATGAAGTAATTGCCAGATATGGAATAACATGAAGTATGAAATGACTTTGGAGAAAGAGGAATTTAGATTTATCTAATGACTAAAACATCATATGAGAAATATAATGAAGCAAAATGAGTGATACAGCAGGAAGGATATATTGATGTGTTTATTTTAATGCCATTTTGTGCTGTGCTAAGACAAATAAATAATATCCACTTTTAAATTTTCATGTCATTAGTTTTATGCATACTGATTTCTACATTGTCCATACATTCTTTTTTTCTTTTCAGAAAAAACATGTAATACTCCTTATATTCCAAATGGTGTCTATTCACCTTTAAGGATTAAACACAGAATTGACGATGAAATCACGTATACGTGTAATGAAGGTTTTTATCCTGAAGCCCACAGAAATACGATAAAATGTACACATAGTGGCTGGGTACCTGCTCCAAGATGTAGCTGTAAGTTCCATTTATATCTTGACCCATTTCATAATACAGAAATTACTTTAATTTAGACACAAAAAATGAGGACACAATAAAACTAAATATTTTTCTTATGTATATATAAAGTAAAGCCTATTTCAAAGTAGCCAATTTTAAGTTGTATTAACACATTTTTAAAAACTAAAATGTCAGTTTGCTACTTAAAATTAATTATGTGTGTGTTTATGAATGTATGTTTCTCTTACAAAATTCTTCCAATATCTGAATTAAAACATTGAGTAAAAATAGTGACATCAAACCCATAGTACATTAGTTATCTATTACATTATAGCAAAATTCCCCCAAAACATATTTGCTTAAAACAACAAATCTTTCTTATATCACAATTTCTAAGGGTCAGAAATTTGGTTTACCTGAGCAGTTGTGACTCAGACTGTCTTCGTGTGTTGCTATCAGGATGATGGCCTCAGCTACAGTCATCAGAAGGCTTAGCTAGGCTGGAGTATCAGCTTTCACATGGCTGTTGTCAGGAGGCCTCAGTTTCTTACTCCATGAACCTCTCCTTGGATTGCTGAATGGCAGTTAAATTTCTCCAGAGCTATTGATCTGAGAGAGAATACAGGAAGCTTTGACACCATTTATTATAGTCTTGTAAGCTGTTACTTCAGTCCTATCCATTCCTTAGAAGTGAGACACTAAGTCCAGCATATACTCAAGGGGAGAGAAATTAGGCTCCACTGTTTGGAGGGAGGAGTGTTGAAGGATGACTGGAAATCCTAGTCATTTCCTAGTGATAAAGGTAATTTCCTAAAACCATTACATACAGCAACATGTCACTCAAGTCAATGGAGTATTTTAGAGATGCTTCTTTGCCTCTTTTCACATTTTTCCATCTCTATAATCATATTTATTTTCTCTATTTAGTCGTACATTGTAAAGATGTACTGTATCTAAACTGGATATTCCATGAAAGAAAAATGCAATAATATAAATACTTAGCCAGTGGCCTCAATGTTAATTACGGGCATAATTCTAGTCCCTAAGAGAGGAAGCTAGTATCAGTATGAAAGAGATTTCTAGGTGCATAAGAAATATAAGGAACATATTTAATGATTTTGTGGTTGGCTTATGACAATGTAGATCAGCCCAAATGTATCTGAGACCCAACTATATCTGGTTTCAATTATTTCACCACGGACCTTCTGGAGTTCTGATGGATAGAATAGAGAAATTGACAAGTTTATGGTTTATCAGTTTGCAATTTCCTTAAATAGCATTACCTAATTATCAAATGCAGGACTTTATTGTCAGGACTGTTTCATTACCCTTCAGCGCCATCAAACGGTTTAATTGGTTGGGGAAATGCATTACAAATTTACAATTGAAATGATACAGGAGATGATAATAAATCTACATTAGAAAAGATCCAGCATTCAAAGAGAATCTTACATGATAGGCCACATCTAACAATATGAAATTTAGCAGTGGTAACTGCTGGTAAGATCCTGGGCTTGGGTCAAATAAATTACAGTGCAGACATATTACCAAGAGTAATAAAAATTAGTGGATATTTTAACCATTTTTAAGATCAATGTAAGTTAACATGATGATGGAACCACCATAACTGCTAATGAGACCACAATCTACGTTGGTAGAAGTATAAGAAGTAGAATGAGGATATGCTATGTGTCCTTTCATTCTCAGTGCTAATAAGACCTTATGTGGAATATTATATTTACTTCAAGAAATCACTTTGTAAAATGGATGAAGACAGATGCTAATGTGCCCAAATGAGAGAGAATAGTGAAGGAGCTCAGGCCTGTGGTAATATTGATAGCTATTTTTAATTATGTCTCCTTTTTTTAACTTTTGAAAATATATTTCAGTGAATTGTTTTACTTTGTTGATATTCTATAAAACACCATAATAAGGTGGATAACCATACTTATTTTGAAATTGATCATCAACTTTCAAATATCTGCTCTGTAATTCAATGGGACATTTAATTGAGTTGTTTAAGACACAGTTCCTGCAATTCCAAAAACTCAAATTTGCCCAATGCAGAATTATTGCCAAATAATACACGTCTTGGTAGATCATAATGAAATTTGTATAATACATTGTTAAATTAAAAATTTTCCAAATCTTTAAAAAGTGGCAGAAAAAATGTAGAAAGTTACTAAAAAGACATAAGATGAAGCAAACATTTTAAATTTGAACATTAGTGGTGAAAATCTATCAATAAGATATATGGGCTGTAGTCCAAGAAACTATACCTAGAAAGGTATCATTCACTAGTCTTTGTTAACAAAAGACAATTAGGATATACAGGGATTCAAATTTTATAATACTTATAAGTGTGTAAAAACTACATAAAAATTTCTTTACTCAAACAAAGAAGAAAATAGATCATTGAGCTTAAGAAAGATGAAGATCAAAAAGAATATTTTTGTGTGTGTATGTATGTGTGTGTTTGTACTGAAATTCTTTTTAATATGTTTGGTAAGATTTCTTGAAATATAATTGCATTTTATGGAAATAAACTAATACTATTCTGGTTTTAAAAAATATTAGATTACTCTGAATAATCCCATGTTAATAATCAATTTTCTAAAAATATCATATATACCTATTAATATAATAAACAACATATCACTTAAACATATTTGTCAAAATTATTTAATATGTAAGAATAACTCAATAAAATATCATTATATTGTGCCTCATTCAAAAATATTTTATGACATTAACAAACATCCTCCAATTAAAATTGGAAATAAGCAAACAAATGTTTATTATAATCTAACTATTTAGATATTAAGAAATAGTCCTAGCTTACTTTTCCGATTAAATAAAAAATACAAAACTTGCCTCAGTTATTTGAGACATGAATTAACAATGTTGTTTTCTGTATAGTATAATCAAAGAAAACTTTTTGTGTTTCTATTTTTATAAAGTTTTCAGTAAATAGAAAAAAACTAATGGATTTAATTTGAAACAAAAGCAAACAAAAAAGTTATCTCCCTGCATTGGGTTGGTCTGAAGAAAAAAGGCAAAGCACTGATTTCTGATGAAAATGGGGGAAAAAAAGAATAGAAAGACACAAGCTAATCAGTAAAATCAGCAGCACATCACCCCAATAAGCTTATTTAATCAGCCAGGTCTAGGATATATATATATATATGTTAAACTGGTCTGTACAGTTTTCTTCCAGGAGAGTCTTCAGACAAATTTATACATTATGTGACCCACAAGACATCATTTCATTGTCATTAACAAAGACTTTCTCGCATGTTTCAGTCACCTGAGTTATATCCTTTTTTGACCTAGAAAATCTAATAGAATGAGTTTAATTATGCTAATAAAAGAAATCATTCATTAATAAAAATATTCTTTTCGAATATAATTGCTCATTAAGGTAAAACATTATTTATATATTTTTTTGTTTCTTATTGCAAGTGAAACCTTGTCATTTTCCACAAATAAAACATGGAAAGCTACATAGAGAGGAAAGTTATAGACCTTACTTTCCAGTATCCATAGGAAAATGGTACTGGTATCACTGTGATCAAAATTATGTGCCTGCTAGTGGAGATACCTGGGCTTATATTACTTGCACACAAGATGGATGGTCACCAGTACCCTCGTGTCTCCGTAAGTAAACCTCTTCACAACTATATATGTATAAAACTGTAGAGAGGAGAGCACATAAGAAATTGCAATTAAGTCTTACAAAAATAGGGCCAAGGGAAGATTTGTTCAAGTAAAAAGACCAAAATAGGTCTTTTCTACTGTGAAGCACTCTTCCTGGAAAATCACGTGGGAAGTAAATACAGAGACTTTACTAGAATACCTCCATAACTTATACATATTTTAATTATAAAAGCCAAAAATAAGCAACATTGATTACTGATAATGCTTTTTGTACACATATTTGTTAGAAACTTTAGTTTTTTGTAAGTTATACATTATTTTTTGATACTTATTCAGTCTTATTTAAATAAAGATAATTTTAATTTGCCAATAAATTTGACCAAATTTATTTTTTATTTATTTATAATTTTTATGGTTCTTAGGACAATGTACTTCCAATTATTTCAAAAATGGACGTTTTGTATACAGTGGAAGAACATATTTACAGGGTAAATCTGCAAAAGTCTCCTGCAATTCTGGCTACAGTCTTCCAAATGAGCTGACCACAGTTACATGTACAGAGAATGACTGGTCTCCTTCTAATTGTGCTGCTGTCAGTAAGTAAACTGCTTTGAGAGTCTATATGTTAATGATTTTCTAAGATTCACCTATATTAGCTGTGGCAAAATGTTTATGTCAACTTATTTTGCCCATGGTCTTATTTAGTTTTATTTTTTTCAGTTGTGTGTAAGTGGATATAAAAATTTCTTGAAAAGTATGTAGCAAAATCAATGCTTCTGTCAATAAACATTCGTTAAGAATATAGTGAAGGAGTTTAATACAATACTTGGGTAAATAAAGTCATATTAATATTAGTCATTTGACTCAAAATAATATACACTTATAGTTTAAAATAGAAAATAAAAATAATGATAGTAAACGTCATTTATATATCAAGCAGTGATATAACATTTTTACATTAAAGCTACTTGTCTGTGAGTTTCTCTAGGATATGTAATGAAACATCAGTTTTTTGAGTCATTGTGCACATTTTTCTTTAGAAAATTTCCTGTATAGCTTTTCATTCCAATACATCCATGTAAATAGTTCCTTTTTGTTTCACATCTTTGTTAATGATTGGTGATGTCACATTTAATATTTAAAAATTGAACGGTTATAAAATGTTATAGTACTGTTGTGTTAATGTGCATTTCTTTTATTATTCATTAGGTTTAGCATATACATTCATAGTTTAATGGGTATTTAATTATTCTTAACCTTAAAAATGCACTTTGAGGTCTTTATTATTTTATTATTTTGGTATCTTTATTATTGGGGCTTGGGTATTTATTTGTTTATTCTAATTCTTAATATTAATTCTCTTTAAATTGTATGCAGTCCAAATACATTCTTTTCTTTAATGTATATATGAATATAAGTTGTTTATTTTACTAAAAATTATCAATATTTTTTCATGATTAAGGCTTTTTGTTGCTATCTAATGTGATATGTCTCTTCTTCAAAAACATAGTTTGCATACTATATTTTATTATAAGAAGTTATATTTTCTTTTTCATTTTTATCTTTTTAATTCATTTTGTTTTTAGCTTATTCACAATAGTAACTGTATTTCTTTCTTTCTTTTTTAAAATGAGAATCCAACATTTCCCCGGTATTTTTTTTTTTTCTCTTTTTCTGGAGACAATGTCTCACTCTATTGTCCTGGCTGGAGCACAGTGGTGCGCCATTCTGGCTCACTGTAGCTCCACCTCCTGGGTTCAAGCTATCCTTCCACCTTCACCCCTCCTTCACTCCAGTAGCTAGACTATAGGTGTGTGCCACCACACCCAATTAATTTGTATATTTTTTGTAGACAGAAGGTCTCATTATGTTGCCCAGGCTGTACTCAAACTCCTGGGCTCAGGTGATTCTTCCACCTTGGCCTCCTGAAGAGCTGGGATTACAAGTGCTAGCCACCGCACCTGGTCTCTCAGCAATTTTTTATTGTACTTTTCTTATACTGTATATCATAGATATGTAAATATACATATATACAGGTTATTTATTATTCTAAGTACTCAGGTCTGCACTATTAGTAAATAATATTTTAACCAGTGTTCCAGTAATCCTCTATTTTAATTACTATAGGTTTATAATAAGTATGAATATCAAATCATGACCTTTCACCCTAATATTTTAATTAATCTTTTTGTTGAGTTCATCATTCAGTGTCTGATGGTCCCGTTATTTTTTTTTTCCTGGTTGATAAATAGAAGCTAACAATATGCCTTGATTTTATATGTAATTTCTTCTAATATCAAACAACTCAATCAAATTGCATGCCTCTTGCTTTGGTTTGGAACGGGCAGAGCCTAGTATTCTTTCTTTCTTTTCTTTCTTTCTTTCTTTCTTTCTTTCTTTCTTTCTTTCTTTCTCTCTCTCTCTCTCTCTCTCTCTCTCTCTCTCTCTCTCTCTCCCTCTCTTTCCTTCCATCCTTCCTTCCTTCCTTCTCTCTTTCTCCTTCCTTTCCCTCCCTCCTTGCCTATCGCCCGCCTTGCCTCCTTCCCTGTCTCCGTCTTGCCTTCCTTCCTCTCTCTCTTTTTCTTTCAACTGTCTCAAATACATCTGACTGAAGTTATGTGTAAGAATTTTATTATTTTACTGTTCATGAGAGGCCCTGTACTTTAGTCAAGTTTTTAGGCTATGTTATGATGGTCATGCAGTTAACAAGTCTTAGTTTGAGCTTCAGACTGAGATACCAACATTATATCATCAATATATATTCAGACCTAAGTGAATCACAGTACTTTCCAACAGAATCAAATCAAAATCTTTCATAACCATGTTGTGAAAATTAGCAGGGATTCAAATATACCTGAGGGAGTGAAGTAGATATATATTGGAGTGTATCCTGTATGAGTGCAAATTACCTGTGGCTTTCTTTGAAATACTCATTTAAAGAAAACAGCTGAATGGATCACAGAATACCCATTTCCCTAAAATTGTTATAAAACTTGAATTATTAATGCTATTTTGATTGCTGATTCTGAAGATACAGAATTGTCTTTCCTTATCCACAGGGAACAAAAGGTACAATAGTGCCCTTATCAATGAAGGATATGTTCCAAGATCCCCAGGTGATGCCTGGCATGACAAATAGTATAAAATCCTACACAGAGTATGTTTTTAAATCTAATAAATGAGAAGATTACTAAGTGACTAATGACTAACAGGTGGACAGCACATATAGTGTAGATTTACTGGAAAATGAGAGGATTCTTTCCCTGGGCTGGATGACACAAGATTTTATCACACTTCTCAGAATAGCACAGTTTAAAACTTAAAAATCAGGCCAAGAACTGGGGATCACACCTGTGATTCCAGCATTTGGGGAGGTGGAATATTGCTAGAGGCCAGGAGTTTGACATGTGCCTGGGCAATGTAGTGAGACCCTGACTCTACTCAAAATAAGTAAGTAAGCAAGCAAGTAGGTAAGTAAGTAAGTAGGTAAATAAATAAATAAATAAATAACCTGGGCATGGTGGTATGTGCCTATAGTGTGAACTCAAGAATTGGAGGCTTCAGTGAGCTATGTTCTTGCCACTGCACTTCAACTTGGTGACAGAGCGAGACCCTATCTTATGAAAAAAAAAAAAAAAATAAACATATATTGCTTATTTCTGGAATTTTCTATTTAATATTTTAGGGCCATGGTTGACCATGGGTAATTGAAAATGTGGAAAGCAAATTTTCAGATAAGGGGAGACTATTGTACCACTCTTTTGATGTTCTATAGTATACTGTTGACCTCCCTGATCCATCAGTATTTTTAAATGGCCACATTTGATTATTAAATAAAGAGTCTGTGGGTATTAACACACAAATATCACCAACTTTAATTAAAGCTGAAATTTTTGGATGATTATCTAGGTACCAGATTTTTAAAAATTTGCATATATTGAAATTATTTTATGTTCTTACAGTTCTAATATTTGGAAAAACATTAGTCATGTAAATCCCACCACACATTAGCACTTTTATAGTAGCATCACAGTCCACCTCTCTCTCCTGAAAATCACTGATCTGTTCTTTATACCTATAGCATTACTTTCTCCAGAGAGTTACATATATGAAACTAAACATAATATATTTAGTTTAGGTTCAATGAACATACTTTATATTTTTGAGTATAATCAACAGTTCATTTCTTTTTATTGCTGAATATTATTCCATTGTATTCTATACCTCAGTTTGTCAATTTATTACTTTTTGAAGGATATCTAGGTTGTTTTTGGCAGTTGTGAATGACGCTGCTAAAAAAATTCACCTGCAGGTTTCCATACAAATACAAATTCATTACTCATATCGACATATGAGTAATATGTACATATCTAGGAGTGGGTTTGCTGGATCAATGGCTGCTTTTCATTGGATGCTGTTTTATTATTACTGAATTTCAAGGCTACTTAATATATTCTGGCTACAAGTCGTTCATTGAATAAATGTTTTGCAAATATTTTTCTCACATTTGTAACTTTACACGTCATTCTCTGAATGTTTTTTATTGATCAAAAATGCTTAATTTGTATGTCATTTAATGTATAAAGTTTTTCATTTATGGATTATGGTTTTTGCATCATCTGAAATGTCTCTGCCTAAACCAAGGTCATATGATCTTCTAGAAATTAACATTTAGGTGTGTGGTCAAATTTTTTAAAAATTAGATTCAAGGGGTGCATGTGCAGGTTTGTTACATGGGGTATATTATGAGATGGTGAGGTTTGGGGTTTTGTTGAATCCGTCACCCAAATGATGAGGATAGTGCCCTAGAGGCAGATTTTCAACTTGTCCCCCTTCTCTTCTCCCCAGTATCTGTTGTTCCCATCCTTATGCCTATGTATGCCCAGTGTTTAGCTCTAATTTATAAGAAAACATACAGTATTCAGTTTTCTGTTGCTATGTTAATTCACTTGGCTGTAATGGCTGTAATTGCATCCACACAGCTGCAAAGGGCATGATTTTGTTCTTTTTAATGGTTGTGTAGTATTCCATGTTGTACATGTATGACATTTTCTTTATCCAGTCCACTAATGATAGGTACCTAGGTTGGTTCCATATTTTTGCAGTCGTGAAGAGTGTTGCGATAAATGAGTGCAAGCAACTTTTTAGAGGAATGATTTATGCTCTTTTGGGTGATATATGATCAATTTTTGAATTATTGTTTTGTAATAAGGTATGAGGAAAACGTAGAGGATTATTATTTTGCATTTGGACATCTTATTGTTCTAGTACCATTTGTTTAAAAGACTATTTTTCCTTCATTGAATTGCCTTTGCTGTTTGTTAAATTGAAATGATTTCCAAGAAAATTTAATAAAATCAATTAAGGGGAAGACAAAATTTAACTATACTTGCAGGGCAGTCAGTAGTAAGCATTAAACCAGCTTGCCCTTTGGCCCACGTTTTTGTATCTAGTCACTGAATACTATCCAGGACAACTTAGCTGTTATCATGAGATTCCTTGTTCCTTTTTTGTTCTATACACAAAGTCTAACTCCTTATAAAATAATAAGCTTTCCGTTTGAATTCCTCCTTTAGGTTCTTCACACCAACAAAACCGCCAACATCAGCAGGTCTAAAGTGCCCAGCAAAAAGCTGACTCGTGGAAGAATGCAGTTTCCACATCCTGATGATTTCATTACCCTTATTTTGATCATTCAGTGACCCCAGTTTTCAGCCCCTTTCTCTCCACATTTCTCTTAAAAACTCTTGCCCAGAACTTCTGCATGAAACAGATCTGAGGTTTGAGAATTCCTCCTGTTTTCTTATTCAGTGACCTTGCAATTATTAAACTCTTCTGCAGCAAATGATGCTTTCTGAATATGTTGATCTGTTGTTGCTCAGCAGGCATTTGAATTTGACAGTAATGTAACAATTTGTGGCAAGCCAGGCAGGAATCATTTCCCCTTGTGGGCATTTGACAGTAGCCTATTGCCCCTTTACTACTACTGGGGCAGACCAGGAAACTAGCCCAAGTGGCCACTTAATTCTGTAGAACCAGTGGTCTTTCCTGATGCCTTCCCTGTTGGTAGGGCAGTGCTGGCCTTCAGCACATGACTGTCTGCAGCAAGATCTTACTTATTTGAGAAGAATCTCCTTTTGATTGGAAAGAGGATAAAGGGCACTGCTCAGGAGAATTACTCTTAGTTTTTAGAATCTGAAACTTGATATTGAAAGGTCTTTTGTTTGTTTTTGTCTCATTGTGGTGTTTATATTTGTGAAGGGGATCCCTGAAGAAATAACTAACAGAGTCTCAGCAGACCTAACTTTTGAATTCTTGGTTGGAGGTCATTCCTCCCCATTTTAAGTGGATCAAAGATGACAAGGAACAATGGGGCAAGTAAGAGTCTTGCCAGGTCAGTACTTGGGCACTGAGTGAGTTAACTAAAGTCTGTTTTGTCACATGTATGTTGCTCCAGCTGGAATGAGAAATGTCAATTTGGATTCCCCATACAGTCTGTTTGGCTGCATCTTGTAAAAGTGGAAGGTTTTTGCCTAAGATTCCCTGAAATATAAAAGTATGATCTTTTGTAACATGGCTTGGCCCTAGTACTCACTGGATTTGGGAGAACAGTGGCTACCAAACAATTCCCTTGATTACAATACCATTCTGCAGATAGATTGTTTTGTAGAAGGAAAGACAAATGGGATAAAATGCCCTGTGTACGATATTGTATATTGCTTTGGCAAAACAGACAAATGCAGAAAAAACATAAACTCATAATCCAGTAGGAAAATAAAACTGATAGACTGAGTCACAAGAAAAAGATAAAGATGTCACAGTGGTTCAGTTAAATGAAATGTCCCCTCATCCACCTTATGGTGGTACCACCTACACCTGAGACAGAGTTCCCACTCCTAAGAGGCTATCCACACCACAGTAAAATAAGTCATACAAAATATGACTTGTGACTCATTTCTCTTTAAGTGTGCAGACATTAAGCCCTGGATTCACTGTAGCTGTATAAAACCTGTCCTACCCTACTCTTGGCCTAGCAAGAAAAGTTGGAAATCCCTTTTGACTTTAGAGACGATGTCTATCCCCTATAAGTGGACAAGTAAGCCTTTGATGCACTTCAAATATGTTTCAAGAGGAAAAAAAAGATGAATAACTAACTTTAATAAAATTAGATAAAAATACACATTCTCTTGACTAAATCATTATTTTGAGCATAATAGGAAATTTGTCATCATAATTATTTTGTACCAAAAGGTGAGACTCCCCCATCCTCTCTGCCTTATTGAATATTTTATCCATGTATTTAATTCATAATTGTGTTGGTCATTACAATGCTAGACTTATGTATATTTTTAGACATCCTATGCCATGTTATGTTCCCTGCCTTCTGTTATGTGGACATCCCTAAAATTTAAAAATGTCCACCATTGCTTTAAAACTTTTAGTCATTCCTTTCACATTACTACAATGCCTAGACTGACATATTAACACTATGGTTAAACTGTCTTAGGGTATTGCCTCTGGAGAAAATTTATCAGATTATTGGATCTCTCAGCAACTCCCGAGATTATTTAAGATAAGTGTTTTCCGTTAGTTAGACCTATCACTGATGCCCTAGTGACAGCCCTAAATATTACTACATATTTGGACCTGCCTTTTTCCATGGTTACTTTCTGGATGCAATTTGTAGTACATCAGGAAATGCCTAATCCATGTTTCAGTTCTGTCTCCCTTTAGCATACTTGGAAAATCATTTCTTACCACAGGCTTTCCCAAGTCCATGGCGTACTGGATAGACAAATGCCAAGACATGTAAAATAAAATTAGAAACCTCTCCCTACTATGACCAGGGGAGAAAGAGATCAAGCCCAGGAGAGACTGAAATTGTCCGAAGAAAATTTAATAAAAACACTTAATGGGAAAAATAAAATTCAACTAGACTTGTAGGACAATCAACAGTAATCATTAAGACAGCATGCTCTTTGGCCCACTTCCTTGCAGCTAGACATTGATTACTACCCCAGGACAGCATTGCCCTTGTCTCTGACTCGTCTTTTTTCTCTGTTCTTTAGATAAGGTCTAAAACCTTATAGAGCAATAAGCTTTCTGTTTGAGTTTCTCCTTTAGGTTCCGCATACCGATACAACTACCAACATCAGCTTGATTAAGGGGCCCAGCAAAAAGCTGACTGACTCATGGAAGAATATAGTTTCCATGTCCTGATTACATCGGCTCCTTTAACCTGACCAATCAATGACCTTACTTTTCCAACCCTTTGCCGTCCACAGTACTTTTAAAGACTCTTGTCCAGAGCCCTTGACTAAAGTGGTTTGAAGCTTGAGAATTCCTCCCATTTCCTTGTTCAGCAGCTTTTTTCATGGTCATAATTAAACTCTCTCTGTTGCAAACCTCACTGTCTCAGTTTATTGCTGCACAGCGGGCACATGAACCTGGCAGTCTTATAACAAAAGAACAATTGACCATGTGTGTAGGTATATTTCTGGAGTTCATTTCTTCTATTGTTCTGTCTGTTTATTGTTTGACTAATATATTGGATCCTTTTATTTTCTGTAGATTTATCTAAGTCTTTATGTTTGGTAATGTGAGTTCTTCAATTTCCCCTATCTTTAAAAAAGAAATTGTTCTGCTAATCTAGTTTTTTTGACTTTCCATGGAACTTTTAGAATTAGCACATTCATATGTACAAAACATTGTCCTTGATTATTCATTGGAATTGGGATACAGTTGTAGAACAATTTGGGGAAAACTGATACGTAACAGTATAAAATTTTTCAATCCATGGGCATTATATATATATATAAAATGGCCTAGCAAGATATGTGTGTGTGTGTGTGTGTGTGTGTGTGTATGCTTTTGCTGTCGTTGTTGTTGTTAGATCATCTTTGATTTCTTACAGCAGTGTTTTGTGGTTTTCTACAGAAAGAGTTTGTATTTTATTATATTTGTAACTAAATAGTTAATATTATTACATGCTTAAATTACAAATTTAATTTGTTTAATATAGTTTATTCATGTTACCTGTTTCTTCTTGAGTGGGCTGTGGTAGTGTGGCTTTACTAAATTTGTAACCCATCCAAATTGTTGAATTTATTGGCATGGCATTATTTATAATACTCATTTCTTAAAAAAAATGTGTAAAATTAGTGATGCCATTTCTGCCATTGCTCATATAAGCGATTTGTGTCATCTTTATTTTTTTCTTGATTGTCTGTCTAAAGGAATTTTTTTAATTTTAAAAATTTGGGGTATAATTTATGGTTAAGTACATTCGTGGTCATGATACAAATAAAGTGTGGGTACCCTTATTGATGTTATCTCCCCCCATTCCCTGGTAGTGTCCCACTACTGCCAATCCTTTTCTTATAGTGTTATGATAAATGTTCAGGGTCCACTTATGAGTGAATACATGTGGTGATCATATCTTTGTTTCTGTGATAGATCACTCAGTATTATAGACTCTAATTCCATCCAGGTTGCTGCAATAATTTTGGGTTTTTTTTATGGCTTAATAATATTCCATCGTGTAAATGTACTTTATCCAGTCCACTTTTGATGGGCAGCATGGTTGGTTCCATGTTTTTGCTATTGTGAATAATGCTGCAGTAAACATGTGTGTGCAGGTATCTTTTTTATAGAGTGCTTTGAGTTCCACTGTGTATATTCCTAGAAGGGGAATTGCTGGGTTGTATGAAAGGTCGATTTTTAGATATTTTAGAAGTCACCACACTGTTTTCCACTAGTTTACATGCCCACCAACAGTGCTGAAGTATTCACATTTCCCCACTCCAGTATTCACATTTCCCTTCTCCAGCATCTTTTTATTTATTTATTTATTTATTTATTTATTTATTTATTTATTTATTTATTATTGATGATAGCTATCCTGACTGGAGTTAGGTAGTATCTCAGTGTGGTTTAAATTTGTATTCCTTTGGTGATTAGTGAGACTGAGCATTTTTTCATGTTGTCTATTAACAGCTTGTATGTATTCTTCTGAGAATTGTCTGTTTATATCTTTTGCCCATTTTATGATAGGAGTTTTTTTTTTCTTTTCAGCACATTTGAGTTCCTTGTAGATCCTGGATGTTATGTCTTTGTGAGATTTACATTTGGCAAATATTTTTCCCCATTCTGTGGACTGTCTCCTACAGAAACCTGATGATTTCTTTTGCTTTGCAGAAACTTTTCAGTTTGATGAGGTCCCACTTGTCTATCTTATCTTTTATGGAATTCACTTTTGGAGAGTTGACAGGAATTGGTTGTCTATTCTAATTTCCATAAGGGTGTTGCCTACATTTTTTTCTAAGATTCTTATAGTTTGCAGTTTTTTTTTTTTTTCACCAAAAGCAACCTTTATTGGACCAACCTAATTGTGTGGGTTGTGACATACAGGTTTGACATTAACAGGGCCAAATGTGCATTATTTCATAAATGTTCCAAAATGCCTTAAAGAGGAACAGCTCACATTATGCTACTACTGTCAAAGACCTCTTTAAAGTTATATAAAACAGACTGTGAAGGATACAGAGACATGTAAAGTGCTAAAACTCAGGAAGAAATAAAAGACCCAGAGACATGAATGGGGGCCAACCTATAGATTCATCTAACTAGAGAAGACAAAAGATTTATTAAAGAGACAATAGGAAAAATTATGAATAAGTTAATTCATCCTTTAGGTTTGATTTTCTCAAACTAGAACCTATGGACACAGCTCAGGAATGAGCTTTAAGTGTATATTTATTTCAATCACATTTGCCAACTGTAAGTAAAAAT